AACATTCCCTTTAGGCCGTGCTATCCCGTTCCCCAGGCTCAGGTGTTGCTCGTTCCCTCTTGAGATTAGGAGCTTTAATAAATATAAATAATTCACAACTGTTTCCCTTCCCAAACCCTCTATTCCTCCCAGCCTCGTGTCTTTTTGTCTCCACACGAGGAAGCGGGCTCTAACGGCTCCTCCATGTGCCGATCCGAGACGTCAGACCTGCAGGTGCAGCTTTATTTGCCACTTCTTCTTAATTTACAGCCGAGGTTACGAGCTGCCACCCCGGACTGCCGTTTCCACACCAGGAATGCTTTGATGTCGGAGAGCCGGCCGGCCGGATGGACGGTCCAGGTGAAACCTGTTGTCCGTGTCAGGCTCTCCGGGGACAGCAGGGGTCCCTCTGGAGTTTTAGTATCGCTTTAAGGAATTCCAAACATCCGTTATATAGTTCCAGGTTTCAGGGAGTTAATCGGAAATGTTCCACTGGATTCTTCGAGGGGTCAAGGAGGAAGTTCTAGGTTCTCATCGAGGTGCCCGAGGGGGAGTTGATGGGATCCTCGGGATTCTAAAAATCCTCTTCTTGGATCTGTGAGGGACTTTTTTCAGATTTGGATTTGGAGTCTTTAGGGATGTAGAACTAAATCCAGACTGAGTCGTTGGGAAGTCTTTCTAGAGAGTTTATAAACAAACTGGATGTCTTTTAGAGGGAAAAATGTCCATTTTGTTTGACTTTGGAGTTGAAAGTTCAGACATGATCCTGAGTTGGTGGAGGAGGAAGAGTGAATCCAGGAGGCCTGGTCTCATGGACGGGCCTTGAAGAATGCCCCAGGAGATCCCAGGAGGTCTAAAAGGGTTTCCAGGTGTTCCTGAAGAGTCCAAGGTTCTGTAGATCCTTCAGCTGCGATCTAGAGTGTTTTATGACGCTGGGAAGAAGGCTGGGGAAGGGTTTTATGGAAGTTTATGGAAAAATTATAACGTTTTAAAATCAAGTTCCCATAGATCCAACAAACATCCAGATGGTGATGTAACAGAATTCCAAAGCTTGGCTGTAAGGATGCATGGGATCCTTGAACCACTTCCACGGTAGCTGCAGGAGACCTGGAAGATTGCCTGGGATTCTGGGATGAATTTCAGACAATCCAGGTGTTGTTGGACCAAAAATTATGATAGATAGATAGATAGATAGATAGATAGATAGATAGATAGATAGATAGATAGATAGATAGATAGATAGATAGATAGATAGATAGATAGATAGATAGATAGATAGATAGATAGATAGATAGATAGATAGATAGATAGATAGATAGATAGATAGATAGATAGATAGATAGATAGATAGATAGATAGATAGATAGATAGATAGATAGATAGATAGATAGATAGATAGATAGATAGATAGATAGATAGATAGATAGATAGATAGATAGATAGATAGATAGATAGATAGATAGATAGATAGATAGATAGATAGATAGATAGATAGATAGATAGATAGATAGATAGATAGATAGATAGATAGATAGATAGATAGATAGATAGATAGATAGATAGATAGATAGATAGATAGATAGATAGATAGATAGATAGATAGATAGATAGATAGATAGATAGATAGATAGATAGATAGATAGATAGATAGATAGATAGATAGATAGATAGATAGATAGATAGATAGATAGATAGATAGATAGATAGATAGATAGATAGATAGATAGATAGATAGATAGATAGATAGATAGATGATAGATAGATAGATAGATAGATGATAGATGATAGATGATAGATAGATAGATAGATAGATAGATAAATAGATGATAGATAGATAGATAGATAGATAGATAGATAGATAGATAGATAGATAGATAGATAGATAGATAGATAGATAGATAGATAGATAGATAGATAGATAGATAGATAGATAGATAGATAGATAGATAGATAGATAGATAGATAGATAGATAGATAGATAGATAGATAGATAGATAGATAGATAGATAGATAGATAGATAGATAGATAGATAGATAGATAGATCATAATAACTGGACTAACTAAACTTAGCTGGTTACTTTACTTTGATGTTGGATCAGAAATAAAATGTTAAATTTAAAGAATACTTTTTATATTAATATGAGCTAATAATGTTGTGTTTTTATTCTAACGTCATAGTTTAATAAAATCACATCAACGAGATTGAAGAGTTTCAGACGTGCGGGTAACATTAGCTTTATTCTATTTGCTCCGACGGAAGAGGGTGGAGGGTCTGATCAGAGGAAAATGTAATCACACATGTAGATTTATAAATGTCATTTATTTGGTATGTTGTAATCGTTTGATTAACTGATTAACTTATTTGACCTTTTAGCTCACAGGTGTCAAACTCCGGTCCTGGAGGCTGCGATTCCACACGTTTTGGTGTTTTCCTGCTTCAACACACCTGATTTTAATGAGCAGGTGATCAACAGGCTTCTGCAGAGCCTGATGAGCTGCTGCACAGGTGATTCACCTGCGTTGGAACAGGGAAACAAACAGATGCAGGACACCGCTGTTCTAGCTCATCCCTACTACAGAGCAGATGTCCCGGCCCAGCTCAGCACCGGTTACCATAACAACCAAACCAGGTTGTGTGGTGGTGAGATGAAAGGATGGAGACGTTCTCACGTTGCCCTTTTTGTTGGAAGCTGCAGCACCTCTTCGGACGCATCCCGCTGAGCGAGCTGTAAAGTGTAACTGGATCTGTGTAACGACAGAAGAGCATTATGGGATGCTGTTATGTTAATTAGCCTCTGATGGAGTGACAACACATGCAGCTAAGTGGAAAACCAGGCGGGAGGACATTTGTCTCTGTCTGATGGACGGTGACACCTCGACCTCTCGGGGATAACGTGCAACAAACAGGAGGACGTGTCCTCCAGCTGTCGGACGGCTCAAACAGCTGCTTTTAACATCTGTCTCTGTTTAATCACACAAACACTTCATCAGCTATCCCACCAATATCTCATCTGATGATGAATAAGTTCCGACAAAAAAATAAATAAACTATTCAATTATTAGTATTTGGTGAGATTTATGGTTTTGAACTCTTAAATGTCAAATTTTTACTGGAGGTTTTTTTATATGTTCATAATCTGCTGATTTCTTCGTTTTTGTTATTGTGAAAAGTATATTTTCCATATTTTTCTTTATTGGTTCAGTAACTTTTATTTTGCTTCCATGTTTTCTGGTTTGAATTAAAAAAAAAGTCCGATTACCAGAATAAAGATTCAACTATAAATCTGATGTTCCACGTGTGTCCGCTAGAGGGCAGCACATCTAACCATTCGTTCGGATTCATGGAATCTCTCTGGATTTTAAATTCCTGTGGTGGACTCGGATTAGGATCAGAACAACAGAATCAGATTTCTTTGTAACCCTTTAAGTAAACCTAATTATTGGATCTACAAAGATATGCTTTTATTTTGAAAGGGGTATGATAAATGATGAATGATCGGCACTTGACATCATGATGCTTAACTGGAAAACGTTCCCTGCTGGTTGGGAATGGGCCTCAGCCTGCAGGGATGTTAGATTATGTTTGATCCTGAGGGATGAATGGAGGAGATGGTCCCACGCACCAGGATCGTGTTGATTTGGTCTGTCGAGGGGAAGAAGGAGCTGGATGCGGACTCACCCAAAACCCCAGCTGGTCATGAGATCTGAATTGTGATCTAAAGCGCAGGATGTTGGATCCAAGCAGCTGGACTGATGGTCATCCATAGGAGGACTGGGAAGCTGCTGCTGCTTCTCCTCCTGAGGAATCTGCTGAGAAACCTGGACCTCTGGGATTATTTACATCAGCCCAGGGCAGCTGTTGCTAGTGCCTGTAGCTTATCACCATCAGTGTGTCAGTGGGTAAGTGACTAGTTAATTGTAAAGCACCTTGGGGGGTTGTGGAGCCATGTCACTGCGGGTTTCCCTCCTCATGGATGGATGGATGGATGGATGGATGCAAGCGTGCTTTGAACACAGAAAGTTTTTATTTGTTTTTAAAATATTTTGTGGAAAATTTGTTTTATGCATTGATTTTATTTAACTCCCACTTTTTATTCTTGTGTCTGGTCAATTATTTTCTGTTTTTAGATCATGACGTCATCCACAGCCTGTTGCTGAGTATGCCCCTCATATCCACCAGATGGCGCCAGACCACATGTTTAAACAGGTGGAGATTTAGACAGGTATAAAATATAATTTATGCATTTCTGTTTTATTTCAAATCCTGAAAGTTTATTTTATTATTTTTTCTACTCTTCCTTTAATTCGTTTTTATTTTATTTATTTATCCAGATATCTCTTCACGTTTCTAACATCAGCATTGGTTTGTTCGAGATAAGGTCATTCCAGATGCGACCTAACAAAAATACTCGCGAGGGGAAGAAATTTCTTATTTTCTGAAACAAAACTTTAATTTCAAAATTTAAACAGGAAATAAAGTTTTGTATTTATTTTCTCCGTTTTTGTTGTTGGTTGGTTGTGTTTTAAATATGAAATTACCTTTTAATCAGCTTAATGTTTTAATTTACGACACATTAATAATTATTAGTCCAAAATAATAAAATTACAAAACATTTCAGGATAACAGAAAATTTCATGGGTTGTCGGTTAAAATCCGACCCTCGTTATTTGACGCGAAACTCGTTTCGTTTCTTTTTAAAGTTATTTATTCAGATTGAACATTTAAATGCCTGAATCTGGAAAACGGAGAAATCTTTTTTAGGGAAAAACTAAATTTACTAAATAACTCAGATATAAACGAACGAGTAGAATAAATGTTTGCGTGTTTTGGTGTATTTAGCGTCTCTTTTGGTTTGGTCGGAAATATTTAGTTTTATAATTTCATTAAAAAATCTTTATTTGCACATCACTCTAAACGTTTCAGCTCTTAAATGAATAAAATCATTATTTCTTCTGGTTTCGTTTTAGGAGAAAACCCATAAAAGCTTCTGGAAAAAGTCCCATCAGAACCACAAACACGTCCAGGCCGAACCCTCAATAATTTATTCAACAACACATGAAAACAATCGGTTCCGGTCCATTTCGGGTTATTTTGGCTCATTCCGCATGCACAGTGAAAACATGCAGGCGGTCCGGTGGCTGACGTCATCACCCCCGGACCTGGTTCTGATTGTTTGACACACAGAAAAACACGCACAGGTCCATTTCCGGTTCTGCTCGGTCCCGGAAGGTTTCAGGTGGATGAGTTCAGGATGCGGGAGTCCGCGGAGTCCGAGCGCTCCTCGTACTCCTCATCCGGGGAGTAGAGGCCCGGTTTGGGCCCCAGGGAGCAGGCCTCCTCCTGGATGCTGATGCGCTGCTCCTCGGAGGTTCTGGAGACCAGCGGAGAGCCGCGGAACACGGACGTCCCGGAACCGGCGGGGGCGGCCGGTGTGAAGGGAGACACGTACTGGGCGGACCGGAGCTGGTACTGGTGCTGCAGGGCCACCGTGTTCCAAAGGGTCACGTCGTTGTGCACGAACGGGCTGGTCTGGCTGCGGGTCAGAGAGTTCCGCAGCATCAGCGGGTACCGAGCGGGCTGCGGGAAGGACGGGTGCTGCAGCGGGACGCCCAGCGGGCCGGTGGGCACGGAGGAATCCGACGCGAACCGGAGCGAGTCCGGGACCCGGAAGGCGGAGCCCACGGACCACTTGGCGGAGGAGGACACCGGGTGGTAGGAGCCCAGGGGTTCGAACAGGTGTCCGTTAGAGGGCAGAACCAGGCCGTCCGGGAGCGGATCCGTGTGCGCGTGCGCGCTCCCATCGGGGTTCCGGCTGGACAGCAGCACCTCGATGGCCCCCACCAGGTCCCCCCCACAGCCCCGCAGGATGAGCTCCAGCACCGGGGGCTTGTGGGACGGGAAGATCTTCTTCAGAACCTCCAGGGGGGGCCTGTTGGTTCGGAGGCTGAAGGGGAGGCTGATGGGCCCGGGCCCGCAGAGACCCTCCACCTGCTCTCCGGGGGGGACCCTCTGGGGACTCTCGGCCTTCACCTCCTTCTCGGAGCCTCCGGCTTTGGAGAGGCTGTAGCGGGTCTCCTCTGGGTGGGGGGCGGGTTCTGAGGGTTCGGGGGTGTAACAGGAGTTCGGTTTGGATCCTTCAGGGGAGCTGACCGGGTCCTGCTCCTTCTCACTAGAGCTGCCTCCGTTCTCTCCTCCCGAGCCCTCCTCCGGACCGTCCTCCGCGGGCTCTGCAACGCAAGCATCAGAACTTAGCTCAATGGTTCTGGTCCAGTTCGGTTAGACTTTAATGGACCACACAGTCTTGGTTCTGTTCATCTGCAGAACCTCAAGTAGATATTTTTTTATTTTTATTTTTTGTCCAATTAGCAAATTAATTAACTGAAGTTCTGTGTTCCGGTACCATTTATCTGGATTCGGTCCGCTTCTGCAGCAGGTCGAGTCCAAATCAGAGTTTTAACCAAACTCACGAACTTTCAAAGGAAGAAGGTGAATTAAAAACAAAATTTAAAAATTCTAAAAAAATAAAACATTTTATTTGTTTAATAAAAATCTAAATAAACAAATAAATCCAAAACTAAAATAAAAACGGAATTTTAATAAAACTCGAGGATGTTTACTCACAAACATGTCATAAAATGGCATTTTACCCACAAAACAAACATTTCTGATCAAAAACAACCAAAACTAATAATATGATTAAATTAAGAAAAGGATCTGAAATAAAACAAATTTAGTAAATTCTTTATTTGTTTTTTACCAACTGTTTTTTAAACGTGTTTATTGAAAATGTTCAGATTTATTCATAATGAACCCTTTGATGCATAATGGCCACTACAGTGGACAGGTTGGTATTTACTTGTTTAAGCAGCTGTTGAAGACTTTGTTGCATTTGAGCCCCTCCATTTGGACTTCAGTAGGGCAAGCCAACATGTTCAGAATGCAAGCTGTCCACTAAGGTGGAAATGTAATGTTATTTGTACATTATTAAATGTTACAAATAAAATGTTGTTGAAATTTGTTTCATTCACACCTAAAGATGAATGAAAAAATAGTTTAAAAATCATGGTTGAAGATTTCATAATTCATGCATCAAAGGGTTGATGATTACATCACGATTCCAGATAATAGTTTAGTCTTTTTAACATTTTAAATGTTTTAATAAATAAAAGCTGCAGACAATCATCTGTTTATTCTATAAAAGTTTGATCCTTGAACAAAAACGTATGTAAACTCTGATGTTTCAGTTACAGACTAAAATTCTGCAGTTCGGACTCGTTTCGGTCTGAACGAACCTTTCGGTTCGGTTCGGTTCTGCCTCTCCTACCTGTGCGTGTTTGCGCTCCGGCCTGCAGCGGTTCCGAGCCGCTCCACCGCAGCTCCAGCTCCTCTGTCCTCGGCGGGGCCCCCTGGCTCGCCTCGCCTGCCCCGCTCATGCCCATGCCGGGCAGCACTCTGAGGGACTCCGGGATGAGGCTCTCCAGGCTCTCGTTGGCCTGCTGCCTCCGCAGCGCCACCTGCGCCGCCATCACGCGCTGCCGCTCGATGATCAGGATGCACTTCTCGCAGGTGCAGTCCTTGAAGCGACAGTAGCGCTTGTGACCTTTGAGCCACGAGAGCACGCCGTGGTTCCGGCAGCGCGCGCACTTGGGGGTCCTCTGCAGCGGGGCCCGGGGCTGGGACACCGGGGCCCCCATGTAGAGGTAGGGGGACCCGTAGCCGTTCATCCTGTGGGTCGCAGCGAGTTCTCCGGGAGGACGCAGAACATGTGAGGAGGAGCTCAGACACGCGGAGGAGCAGGATGGAGCTCCGCTGCTGCACGCATGACAGGAGGAGGTGTTGGCTTGGGGTGGAGGGTCCAGCTGATAAGGATCCGGCGGACACGCTCCTCTGGAGACGAGTAACCAAACGCGTCAACGCGCTGCAAAAGGTGTCAGCGCGAGGCAGAAAAAAAGGGGGCTCGCGCCCCGTTTCCGGTCTGAGATCCGGTTAACGGGAACAAACAACCTTACATCAGACGTTAATTGTTTGTCTGAAACAGAAAGTTTGTGAAATTTCACCAAAAAAACAACAACAAAAAAACTAAAAATCAACTAAATAAAAACTGGAAACAAATAATTTTACCTAAAATAAGAAAATGTAAAAAAACTAAAACCGGAAATGTTTTTATTATTAAATAAATCATAAATATTTTTGATGATTTAGCCCAAAAATGAGAGATTATTTAACCCTTTGATGTCCATAAAAACTTTTCTCCCTAATTATTTTATTATGTCCCCAACACCGACATTAATGATAAGCTAATAAATATAAATATTAATAACATTATTATTTTTTTATTAACTACAACAATAATAATAATAATACATATTTAAAGTTTAATCCAACCATGTTTCATCTCAGTTTCAGATGAGGGGTCTAAAATCTGCTCTTTCAAAGGTCAAAGGTTAAAGCCATCACCTGTAAAGATCCGATCTCTGCAGCTAAAGACTAAACGCTGATGCCTGATTAGCTCTCTGTGGGTCTGAGGGCCCCTCTGGGGCCCGTGTGGAGCCCGCTGACGAGTCCCCTCTGCCGGACTAATAGAGGGCATTGAAACATAACACCGGACAAAGCCGGGGCTCATTTCTGACCGTAAAAAAGGTTTATTCAAGCAAATAATGGGATCGGAGCGGCGCGGTGTGGCTTCTGCTGAATAGGAGCCGGTAAACTTCCCGCCTGGATCCCGTCTGCGGGACTATTAAGCTTTTAATTGGAAAACAGCAGAAGGAATCTCAAGGTGACTAGAGGCTCCGCAGTTTGTGCCGGACCAGTAGATTTGTGGGAGTGGGAGGCTGCAGGTGGACGCATAATAAATTTATTCATGTTGTTCTTGGATAAAGAGGAAAAACACAAACCCAGATAAAAGTTTACACCGCACCGTTGGAGCAGCAGAACCCGGACCGGGCCGGGCCGCTTCCCGGTTCTAATTACATGCTGCTGCAGCACTCGTGTTTTATGCTCCGCTGTGTAAAACACAACAGAGGTTTGTACTCCGGCTGCGTTTTAGGATGATTTAAAATAAAAACGGGAACATGGAAAAAATAAACAAATAAAAGCGGAATTATGGATAAAGAAATATCTAAAAAACAAATAAATAAAACTTAATCCTTTAAATTCCTAAAAGTATCTGCGCTCCGGTGTAGACTCGGGACCCGGCTGATACCAGTCAGCACCGGCCGATTTCAAGCAGGCACATCCTGGGCAGCCCGCTGCTGTTGCTGATTGAGTTCCTGAAAAACCTCAGCTTTATAAACGCTCTAAATGAAGGTCAGCTGACCCGTTTTTATTTTTATTAAATAATCAGTTTATTAATTATTTAGTTAGTTTGGTTTTATGCGGACATCAAAAATGGATCCAGGTCGGGTGCATCAGCTTTTGTTACTGGAGACGTTTTAACAGGTAAATAAGATGGAAAACATCCAAATGTCGGCCGACAGCACGTCTACATATCAGCGTCGGTATCGGCCAAAGAAAAACCACATCAGTCCGATTCCAGCTCATCTCACAATGAGCTGTGAGAATAAAACACATTTAAAAAATCCTGCTGATTCCAACTTTGATTCATAGTAAAAAAAAAACTGACAGAAATGTTTTTTTTACTAGGAATTATTACGATTTTAACATTTCAGATTATCCCCACCATTTTGGTCCAGTGCTGATCAAAACACAAACGCTAAACCTTTAATAAGACATCAGCCGTTTAACTGATTAATAATTAAAACCATTTGAACATCAGACAAAAGAATAAAGGGTAAAACATACAAATAAGATTTTAGTTCTTCAGAATAGAGATGAATGAATGAATCACCCTGTGGAGTCATGTCATGTGAGATCTTTAGTTTTTTTCTGTTTGTCATTTAAACCATGAAATCCACTCCCCAGCTCAAAGGTCAAAGGTCAGCGTTAGATTAAACCATCAGACCTGTGATGGTGAGAGAGCTGTAGACGGTGAATCCGTTACGATATTTTTATTTCACTTTTAGATATTTAATTAAATAATCCCAAACTAAATTCTCCCTTAAAGACAAAATCCCACGCCTGTAGCTCCGCCCATTATAGAGGTTGAGGGTTTGATTCCTGGATGATCCAGGTATTAGGAGTGAGAGAGCAAGTTGATGGATTTTCGTTTCCTGCTGTTTAGCCGGAAAACCTCAGATTTATTATTTTAGTTGTAAAACCTGCAAGTGCGCCGCAGCGACTGCTCTAATCTGACATCAGCTTCCACCGAGACCAAACAGCCCCACAGGTGTGGAGCATCTTTTATAGGAGCCGCCCACAGGTGCACACCTGCTGGCGGTTTAGCCATTCAAACAGCCTGAAGCTCACATCACAAGTTATTTAGATCCTTTTACGGATAAAGTCAAAGCAACGATGCAGTAAAACCAGCATAAGTCAGATTATGTATCATTTCTCTTGAAACGATCTAAATAACTTTCAGCTGTTTGATTGGCTAAACCACCAGCAGGTGTGCACCTGTGGGTGGATCCTATAAAAGACGCTCGTCACCTCTGGGACTGTTTGGTCTTGGTGAAAGCTGAAGTGTTGGTCAGTTAGATTATTCAGGAGCTGCTGCAGATTAGGATTAGTCTTCCATTTATTTCTGTTTTACATTAAAATCTCAGAAAACATCTGAGATCTCTCCTCATTGTTTTTACAACGCCATCATGTCCACAAATTAACTAGTCATCTAAAAAGAAAAGCCAAATGTACAAAAGTTCAGGAGTTTCACACAAATAAACCCAGACGGATTAAAAATCCATTGAATTCGGATTAAATTAGTTCAAACTGAGATTTTTATTCTACTCATTAGTTCATCGTGTTTTTTTTTTTTTACATAAATCCATCCTAACGTGGGTGGATGTTAGTAGGAAGCACTTTAAAAATCCACTGACTCATTCTCATGCGAGTTAGACATTTTTGTTCACCTTAACGTCACACTCATGATTTCCTGAAACTCCTCAGAGATGGAGGAGGGGCTGACCTCTGGACCTCCTCATTATCAGGAGCTGATTGGGGGCGTCGCTGCCGCTCAGGAGTCCTGTCACAGAGACGCTGATTTAAGTCTGCGGGACGCAGAGGAAATGATCCCACGTCTGAATTAGAGTCTTTTATTTTGAAGGAACAGAATATTAACTCCTTGATTTTGTTATGAAGCAGAACTTCTCAGATGGGACCGGAACCAAACCTAGAGGCTGGAATCAGCTGAAGTACATCAGAAGCTGAAGACTCGAGAAAATTTTAAGAATCTAAAAAGAAGTCGTGGAGGTGGTACCAGGGCAGCCTGGGTCGCAGGTTAGGGGCGTAACGGCACGCCTAAAATCCCGGTTGGGCTCATGGCTTGGTTTAAATTACAGTTTTTTTTTTGTGTAAACGAGTACGGCTTTAATGGCGTTAAAATTCTCTATTTATCCCGAAAAAGACCAAACACAACATTTCTGGAAGTAAAACCTTCCGCGTCAAACGTCTGCTGCTAGCACAAGTTAGCAGCTAGCAACGGTGCATTCACGGAGCAACGGTTTTTTGAGTTTCAGACATGAGAAAACATCTGAAATGTGGAGATATTTTGTGTTCTGATACTGAACGGATTTTAATAGAGAACTCACTTGCAAGCATTTGATCTATTTTGTGAAGCGCAATTCAAACTTCGACAGCTAGGAGGCAGCAGCTATCGCCACTTTCACACGGTAGGAACGAGATCTCACGATAACTCTGAACGTGACCTGGAAGAGTTTCTAATTAAATGTTAGCGAAGTGATAAAAAAGGCAAACATCGTCAGACTTTTAGTATCGCGGTAATCGTATCGTCTCCTCAGGATTGTGATTTTTATATCGTATCGCCAGATGTTTGCCGACCCCCCCCCCCCCAATAAATATTGGTTGATTTGTAGCGCTTTTCTATTAAAAAAAATAGTTTTATAACTCAGAGGTTTTAAAGGAGGAGTTATAAAGCTGGACAGAATTCCTAGGTGCAGCCGTGGTGTGGAGTGTGTCGAGTTTGGTGGCAGGAGAATCTCGTCTCTGCTTTTTGTGGATGATGTGGTCCTCCTAGCTTCATCCAGCTCTAACCTTCAGCTCTTGCTGGGTAGGTTCGTGGCCGAGTGTGAAGCGGCTGGGATGAGGATCAGCACCTCCAAATCTGAGACCATGGTTCTCGACCGGAAAAGGGTGGCTTGCCAACTCCGGGTCAGGGGAGAGGTCCTACCTCAAGTGGAGGAGTTTAAGTATCTCGGGGTCTTGTTCACGAGTGAGGGTAGGAGGGATCGGGAGATCGACAGGCGGATTGGTTCGGCGTCTGCAGTGATGCGGACGCTGAGCCGATCTGTCGTGGAGAAGAGGGAGCTGAGCCAGAAAGCCAGGCTCTCGATTTACCGGTCCATCTACGTCCCAATCCTCACCTATGGTCATGAGCTTTGGGTAATGACCGAAAGAACGAGATCACGGATACAAGCGGCCGAAATGAGTTTCCTCCGTAGGGTGGCCGGGCTCAGCCTTAGAGATAGGGTGAGGAGCTCGGACATTCGGGAGGGACTCGGAGTAGAACCGCTGCTCCTCCGGATCGAAAGGAGTCAGTTGAGGTGGTTTGGGCATCTGGTCAGGATGCCTCCTGGACGCCTCCCTGGGGAGGTGTTTCGGGCATGTCCTGCCGGCAGGAGGCCCCCGGGTCGACCCAGGACACGTTGGAGAGGTTACATCTCCAATCTGGTCCGGGAACGCCTTGGGGTCCTGCCGGAGGAGCTGGTGGAGGTGGCCGGGGAGAGGACGGTCTGGAGCTCCCTAGTTGGGATGCTGCCCCCGCGACCCGGACCCGGATAAGCGGAGGAAGACGACGAAGACGACGAGTTATAAAGCTCAACACGACCTTCTTCTGGATCTGATCGGGCGGAATCAGGAGTGAAAAAACTTCCAAAGTCAAATCGGGAGATCGGCCGGTGGAAACCATGTTAACGTCTGTGTACAGAAACGTCTGCATCAAATCAAACCCTAACATTTAAGCTCTTTCATCGCCCCTCACCTCTGATAAAACCAACTTCCTGTCTGTAACGAGTCGCCATCACTCTGCCCGGCGCCGCCGCTGCCAGCAGATTTTATCCATTAAGGGCAGGAGTGATTCATGGAGGCCGAGGCGGCTCAAGGGAAACCGACCCGGTGACACTTTTCTCTCCCTGCTCCGAACACGAGGCAGCAGCTACAGAAGGACGAGGCGGCGGCAGCCTGTCGCCCTGACAACCGTGATAAAACGGCCTTCCTTAACTAAACTCGTAAAGCACGGAGCGATAAAAGTCAATCTTCTGTAAAATCCAATTAAGTCATTATCTGACTGATTGTATCTTTAATTGAAAACAGAAGTGACAGTAAATTTCTGTGATATATCAGGATCAATCGATACGGCCGCGCAATCTGCTCTCAGGAGGTGATTTATAATGTCAAAGCCGTATAGGTAACTCCACATTCTTCTCTCTAAAACCACTGGGGGATGAAATTAAGAGTAAGTGCGTTTCATAAAAAAACAAGATGGTCGCGTTATTGATTACAACAGATGGGGCCGAGTCCAATGAATGTTCCAACAGGGCAGCAGAAAGAAAACAAGTAATTCTCTCTGTCTGCTTTATTTTGTTGTTCGCAGCACAACATTCACACTCCATCACTCCTCAGCGCTTTTATTTCCCTAAAACTTGTAACCACATAAACTCCGGAGCTCCGAACCGCTGCTGTTGCGGCTTTATTCCAACACATAAACACCAGCAGAGGAATGTTTCTGCTGAAACACCAAACCAGGCAGGAAATGTTCTCAACTTTTCTGTTTTTGCAGCCGAACCCAGAGCGTGGACGTCATTAAAGGATAGAAGGATTACAGGAAAGCTTTCGTGTCTGATCAATCTTTTATTTGTTTGATTTATAAAACATCAGGAACTACAAATAAAACTCCAGACAGGAGTCTCCCTCTGGGACCCAAAGGCGTTTCAGCTCCTTTTCATCATAAACGACAGAAGGACGTCAGGTCGACTCTAAATGTGTGCGAGGATCAGTAAACAACAGAAATGAAAATAATCTGGAATAAACAACAGCATGAAGAATCGGGAGTTCTTCCAAACAAGAACAAACCGGAATCACATTCAGCCGTTTTAGTCTTTTTATCTTTTCCGGCTTGGAAATTTTCAAAATAAAGTTTTGTTCATTGTGAACTTCCAGCCGTTCCGTATTTTTATTTATCAACATTCATGTTTGTTGTTGGTGGAAAACTCAAATGAATTTAAGAGATTTCATCTAAAGTGTTTGACTGTTTTTGGGTGAAGGTGCGTTAAGCACATCAGCCGGCGGCATTTGTTTTGAGCGTCGTTTGGGAACCCACAGGAAGTTGTTTCTGGAATTAAAGCAGATCATGTGACCGAGCTGGCATATCCGGAGGCTAAAAGGCCCAAAATTTAACACTTAAAACTAAAAGTTTTAACATTAATTATGTTTTTGTTCAACAACGTATAAAGTTAGAGGATGGCGAATGAAATCAACACAAATAAAAAAATACTGAAGTCAAGGAAAAAAGGAGAAATTTCACCTCTTAAAAATTTTTCTGCACAAACGTTAAACACGAACATTTAAAATCTGAAAGTTGTATAATGATTTTATAGATTTGATGAACAGAATTGTTCTAGTTTTAGTCATTTAATCAAGTTTAGATTCATAAAAAGATTAGAAACATTAGATAATGATTCCCTAAATCAAACATGAACAGTTTGACTAAATCATGGGAGGCCGTAACGGGTCGTAACCAACCTGCCGGCTGCAGAATCAAACAAACGTCTGGAACAAAAACCTGCAGCAACATTCAAAGTGAAGCTGGTCGAGTTTTTGGCTCAAACCCAAACCCGACGCCATCCCATCTTCTACTTGCTACAGTCGCCGTCGACGGGGAAGTTGGCCGTCTGGCTGTCAGCTTCACACTCGGCCCTCAGGTCAGGGGAAACCAGGGAGCTGCTAGGGTGGCCACTCGTGGACTGAATGTGAGTGCTGGAGAAGGCTGCAGAGACGAGACAAAATCCAGATTATCACAGATTACAGAAACAAACTTCTTCTCTTTTTTAAACATTACAGTGGACTATTAGAAGAACTGAGTCCAATGTGAAGGGTTCAGGTGCTCCTGGTCCCAGAGGAACGTTGCGCGCAGAGCGTTTCCCTTCCGTGCGTCCGGCGGGGATCTCGTAACCGTGGCGCAACGCCACGCCTGAGCCTATGCAGGGGTCACTCTGGGAGTGAAACCGATAAACGGCAAGTAAACATCAGAAAGGTGTGGCGTGTACTCAGCCCCCCTGAACTCTGATGCCCCTGAATAGGGTTGTCACGGTGTGAAAATTTAACCTCACGGTTATTATGACCAAAATTATCACGGTTTTCGGTATTATCGCGGTATTTTTTAAACGTGCTACATTTTCAGACAACAAAATAAATCCTGTACATCAGGAAAATATTGTCCTCAGTTTGTGTCTAAAGTTTGCCTAAAATTTAGTAATTATGTTGTTTATTTGTTTACATTTTTCCCCTTTAGTCTTTAAAATACCAATATTTGCCCATAACTTCTTATTTTTTGTCTGTTTGATGTCATCATTTTAAAAGTATTACATCAGATGATACTCAGTACTCAAGTAGCCTTCTAATCAGATACTTTTTTACCCTTACTTGAGTAATAAACCCTATATCAGGAAAATATTGTCCTCGGTTTGTGTCCTTCCAGTGAGCTTTGCAGATGTGGGAAAATGTCATCAGGCAGTAATCGTTGTTAAATTCATAATTATTCTCGGAGAGAGACCAACTCTTATCTGCCCCTGGGAGCCCCGTAATGCATAGCGTCATTTCAACATGGGGGTGTCCGCGACACGGTTTATATGCAGGTAGCGGCGCTGCGGCTGCTTTATATAGCGACTCGTTGCGTTCTCCCTCAACCCAAATCCTCGGATCACGCATTTTAGCTAAAACGCTAACGTTAGCTTGCCTTGCGTTGACTGTAGAGTTGTGGGTGATGGTCACGCAGATGTGTCATGAGATTTGAAGCGTTGCTGCCTTTCACAGACACTTTTTCTGCACGTGCTGCAAACAGGATAGCCGTCTTCTATCAACTGTCTCTCGGCATTCTTCAGATATCCAAAAGATGCCCGTACTTCCCACTTTGTCTTCTTTGAGGGATAATAAATGTCCTGAGTGCTGCCGTTTCCTCCTTTGGCCGTTATTTCAGCTTTAGCTTCAAGAAAGTTTTGGTTGTAAACAACAAAGTGCGCATGTGCTGCCGGCAACTTCAGCAGATGATACGGTGGCTGGTAAGGGTCACCGCGCCTACACCGCAGCCACGGTAACCCACCGAGATAATATATATTTTTTAAAAACAAGACGGTTATTATTATTGTCAACTCTTTTACTGGGGTTTACCGCTACACCGGTTACCGTAACAACCATACCCCTGAATAAACCTATGTGTAACTTAGTCTTATAATAAACACACTTGTTCTGTGTTAGAGGAAATGAGTGGACAAACCAGACAGGTCAGGAATAAAGGTGTAGATCAGCTTAAAGCAGAGTTGGGTTATAAAAAGTATCCCAAGGTTGGAACATCTCAAGGAGCTGTGTTTCTGTTCATCCATCATCCGAACATGGAAAAAGTACCTACCAGGACACGACCGTCCACCTAAACGGACAGACGAGCAAGGAGAGCGCTGGTCAGAAGTTTTCATGGTAACTCTGGAGGAGCTGCAGAAGTTCACAGCTCAGGTTGGACATTCTGTCCAAAGTCGAATGTAAGTCATGTCCTCACAAATCTGACCTCAATGGAAGAGTGGCAAGAAGAAAGCCGTTGTGGACACAAAGACATAAGAAGTCCCATTTGCAGTTTGCTTGGAGCCATGTAGGGACACAGCAGACATGCAGAAGAAGGTGCTCTAGTCAGACCAGACCAAAGGTGAACTTTTGGGTCTACATGCAAAAGAAAGTAACACTACTAAATACCCTGAACACGCCGTCCTTGCTAGCTGTTTTTACAGGATCATAGCGTTTGCAAAACAGGATTTGCCACGGCTCCCTGGGCAGGATAAAGGTCGTTTATAAGATCAGACCGTGGCGGTAATGTGGCGCAATCGTGGCAATTTTATAAAAGATTAGATGATGGCGGCATAAAAGGGGCATGGGGGTGGTCTCTGCGCTGCCGCAGACTTCCATCTATCTTGGACATAACTTGCTTTTTATTGCGATTGAAGCCGTGATCGTTGTTTTTTTTAACAAGCAGCTCCTAAAGGTGTCTGTCCCCATCAGTCCCTGTGCAGTCTCCGGTGATCTGTGCTTCAGCTCTAACAGAGAGGCTCGTGGAGCGCTGCGGTGCTCCAGTTTGCCATCTCAGCAGATTTAGTTCAAAAAGCAAACCTTATTGCCTGTGTTTACTTTCATTTTCAATGAATTTGCCAGCGGGAGCTCAGCAATACCTCCCCACGTCATCATGACATCTGCCTCTGTTGCACCAGGGCGCATACGACAGACCATTACCGCAATATCACTACCAAGTGAGGCGGAACGAATGTCCCAAAATTCATGCAACGCCATGCCAGCGTGGCGCGTTTATAGACATACCATTGCGGTAACATTACGCCGATTTGCCGGCATGGTGTGTGTTGTAAAAAGGGCTTCTGTGAAGCATGGTGGTGGCAACATCATGCCGGGAGGATGTTTTTCTTCAACAGGGACAGGGAAGCTGGTCAGAGTTGACTGGAGATAAATAAAGCAAAGGATTTGAGACTGGGAAGGAGCTTCAACTTCCAGGAGGACAAGGACCCTTAACATTCAGCAGGAACCACAATGGAATGGCTTAGATTCAAGAATATCCACATGTTCGATTGCCCCAACCAACGTCCAGACCTCAACCCAGGTGAGCATCTGTGGCAAGACCTGAAAACTGCTGTCGTGTTCAGACGTTCTCGAACCTATCTGAGATGTGGAAAGCTGGTAGAGACACACTTAAGGCCTTAAAGCTGTAATTTTAGTGACACATGGCTCTAAACGTATTGATGTTGAGAGGCTAAATACAAATGCATGCCACACTTTCAGATATTTGTTTAAAATTTTGAAAACCACGCATCACTTTCCTCCTCCTTCCTAACTCTGTTCCACTTTGTGTTGATCTCACAGGACGTCTCAATAGAAACATTTATCTCTGGCTGTGAGGGGTGAAAATGTGTAAAATAAGGGCTATGAAAACATTTGCAAGGAACTGCATTTCCATTTGATGCTTACGAAACTAAATGTTTTAGATGCACCAACTACCTACTTCATCCAGGTTTCTGCAGCAGCTCTTTACTGCTTTTAGAGATCCACATTATTTACATCTGGGTGACTGCACACATCCACAATGCTGGGGGGGGGGGGGGGGGTGAGGCATCTGTGGTCACTATGCAGACCTGTTCCTCAGAGATTTAAGCTAACATTTAGATAATCTAACACATCTTTGTGCAGATGATCAAAAATTTACATCTCAAAGCTAACAACGTTTAACACAAAACTCGTTTGAAACAGCTAACAAGCTGTGGGGACGACAGTTCTCAGAACTGGCCGATAGTTTATGTTTATGTATTTAGCAGACGCTTTTGTCCAAAGTGACTTACAAATGATAATCGGCATATTGCCCTTGAGGCTAACAACAACAATAACAACAACAACTTGACATCAATCATGGAGAGGAGGGAACAAAGGAGCGGACAGTAGAGGGGGGGGGGGGGGGGGGCGGGTGCAGGGAGGGTGCTAGTTAAGAAGATGCTCTCTGAAGAGCAGGGTCTTCAGGAGTTTCTTGAAAGTCGAAAAGGAAGCCGCTGTTCTGGTAGTGCTTGGTAGGTCATTCCACATTTGTGGAACGATGCATGAGAAGAGTCTGGATTGTCCTGAGCGTGGTGTAGGCACTGCTAGCCGACGATCCTGTGATGACCGGAGCGGCCGGGCCGAGACGTAAGCCTTTGCAAGAGGATTCAGGTAGATGGGAGCCGTACCATCTAAGACTTTGTATGCTAGTGTTAGCAATTTGAATTTGATGCGTGCTGCTAGCGGTAGCCAGTGGAGCTCAATGAACAGAGGGGTGACGTGTGCTCTTTTTGGCTGATTGAAGACCAGACGCGCCGCTGCATTCTGGATCATTTGAAGAGGTCTCACAGTCCAGTCTGGAAGACCAGTTAGAAGGGCATTGCAGTAATGGAGGCGGGAGATGACAGTAGATTGCACCAGGAGCTGGGTGGCATGTTGTGTTAGGTATGGTCTGATCTTTCGTATGTTATACAGCGCAAAGCGGCATGAACGAGCAACAGAGGCAACTTGATCTTTAAAGGTCAGGTGTTCATCAATCACAACACCCAGATTTCAAACTGCCTAGTACAGGGATATGCATAACACGCCTGGACCTTACACAGCTGAAGCTACGAAGGTGTAACCAGATCTCTTCTGCATTGAGCGGGTTGATGCTGAAGGATCACCATGTCACGGTTCCTCTTTGGAGATTCTCCAAAGACCAAAAACACCATAGGAAGAAACAAGAAGGGAACGACAGTAGAGGCTGCACAGAACTCAGGAGGGACAAAGAGTTTAGAAATACATAAATAAATTCACTTTTATATATTTGACTTACCTGACGAGCTCAGTAAACACAAAACCAATCACATCATAGTCGGCCCTCTCCAACTGCAGAACGCATTTAGTGTAATTGTGTAAAAAGAAACTAACCCAGTTACAGAGGCATGCTAGCCATTAGATTGCTTTAACTTCTGAGTCTGGACATGTGGGGCGGATACTTCACTTTTTATTCTCTCATTGGCTCTGACAAACTCTCTTCATGGCTGTTGCCTTTGGCACATTTTATCAGCTGGAACCCTGTGAAACTGTACGTTACTCTCCTTTCATCGAACCGTGCAGCCGACAGTGCTACATGTCTTAACTGCGCTGGTGGACTTTATTTCATTAATGTTCAATTTATTGACAACTGACAGACAACAACTACGGTGGCCA